AGCAAAGCTGAAGAGAACGGAGGCGATCAGAAATCTGACGAAAAGTCCACAGACTACAAGGGCGATTTTATTTTATCCCCTAGGGAGGTTCGTCTGGAGCGCATGGTGGTGTCAGTGGCCGTGATCTACATGGAGTGTCACGTGTCTACGTTTGTTCAGATCTCCACCTCCGTGGTCAGTATTTTCTGGCCAACTTCAAACGCGACGGTTCCCAGATGCTACCAGAACCTGGTAGTTCTCGTTCACTGTGTCCATTTCTTGAGTTGGACTGAATTCAGCGATCAATATTTTCGTCTACTACCACTTTAATCCTGCCTTTTGGAACATGTTTCTGAAGCTTTTCAAAATGTTATAGCAGGCATGGGCAAGCGTGTCCAAGATGCTGACTGGATTTAGCCATTCGACATATCTCGCGGGCCAAAGCAGTAGTGAGTTATCTCATTTTTAGACTAGAGACAGTGCGAGGTGACGTGACACCGAAACTTTCGAGTTCGCGGGTGGCCATGTTTGAGTTGGCCAAGAAATTTGTTTACATGTGAGTGGGCGTGTCTCTGCTCTTATTAAGGAAAGCGTTTTTATTAGATTCTAAAGTTGTGTTTTAATCCAAAGAGATTTTCTTAAAAGTGCAAGCACGTGAAACCTCTAGTCCCTCTCAGGGTTAATGTTTTGCAGCCTTAGAGACTTTCTCTACAGTTAATCCATCACCAGCAAACGTTTGATTATTCTGGAAGTGGAAGACTGATGAAAACGAAACCAGAAAGGAGGGTGCAACACTGATGTGTCTATCAGTGCACTAACAAAGCCTCCAAGGGAACCCCTCTTTCTTTTCACTGGTAAGAATAAGATTGATAGGAAATAGACAGATTAGATCTCAGTGTATGTTTTGAAAAAAATATTCAAAAAGATTAAGAACCTGATCTGATCAAAGAAGACCTTTCATTTAATTGGGGGGGGGGGGGGGGGGTTGGGGGGGGGAGTGACCCGTATAGAGGTTGAATATAAAGCTATTGGACTACAGTTCGTTTGGCTGATTATATTATAAATTTTTAATAGCGTCACATGTCTTCAATTTTGTAATACAATAGAAGAGTGGCACGTCATTTTCGGGATAGATCTAATGGTTTGAGTTGTGGAAAAATTATTTGTAATGTCTGTTCCCTTTTTAAAAAAAAATAGCAGTGACAATTGGGCCTATTTATTAATATCAAATCTTATGAACGGCTTAACCTGACCCTATTCCCTAACGCTAACTTTAAGACGAAACGAATGGCTTAACCTTACCTAACCCCAAGCGCTTCGACTAAAATGAAGGACCAACCCTAATCCTAAGGACAAAAAAAATAGGTACAAATAGTCACTCCAGGGTTGTTGTTTAAAAAAAAAATTAAAAGCGATTTGTAAGGTTCTGGGTCATGTGCAGTTAAGGTTGACTAGGAGCTAGATTTTTTCACAATGGACAGGTAATTTCTTTTTCACACAGTGATTCATTCAATAAGAAATAAACCATCCCACAGAAAAAGTGCTTAAGAGAAAATAAAGTTCGTTTTGTTGTCTTGTTGGTTTTTTGTTTGTTTGTTTTAAACCCTATCTATCTCTATCTATTTAATAATTATTGTAAATTTCTTTGTAAAACTGGCTGTAGAAAGTATGTTGTGTTATTGCTATCTGGTAATCGAGATATAGTACACCACGACGCCCAAGTAAAAAATTCAACAAGGGCCAAGACTTGCTTATTGCTCATGAGAAGGGGAAAACATGCCTAGACCTTTGCTTTAACTTGAACTCCTTCACACAGCTGGCCAACTCAAACATGGCGGACGCCGCTATCGAATGGGGCCATCGCGTAGCCAGGCAAGAGAGAGGCGTGCTGTATCTAACGTACTGTGTACATCTATGAGTGAGACAAAAACTGATACTTCAACATATTATTATGTCCCCTAATACTAATAATGAATATGACCCTAGCGAGTTGGTAATAATATTTTAAAAAGCTGCCCTTCTTGAAAATTGAAATTAATAGTTTCCTTCCCAGCTGGGTGCAATTGATCTAATATTGATCTCATGAAATTTCCTAAATGAATGGGTCGACTCGCAGGCCAAACTGAAACTGTTCACTGGTCGGATCTGGCCCGCGGGGGGGGGGGGGGTAGTTTGCTCATGCCTGTGTTATAATGTAATACAAGACGAAAAGACTACCTCAAGGTTTGCTTGGGGATGACTGAAAAAACAACAACAACAGCAACAAAATGTGTTAGATTTGAATTCACAATTTGAGAAAATCAAGGGAAAGGCTACACGGAAGGTGATGAGAAGAAGAATCACAGATGAAGCTTTTCAGAAAATGGAAGGACAAGGATTGGTGTATAGAAGCCGTCACAGTGTAGGGAAAAACGGAAAGCGTTTGTCCGTGGCTTATACTTATACCCTGATCTAAGGTATTAAAGGCAATGATACTGATAGCGAATGCTTTACATCAACACAATTTACATCTTTGCGGGCACATAGATGGAGATGTATATTGATAAATAACCTCCCTAGCGGGCAATAGAACTCTGTGTTCTGCATTCTATTGCAAATGACCTCCTATTAATTCCTAACCACAACAATAAAGATGCCAGTTATAGTTTTCTGCACGCCGTTGGTCGACAGATCCAGCAATAAACACTTAAACACGTAGACAAAAGCCTTAAAATTCGTTGCATGTCTTAACTAGAAAATACACTGTCTGCCAGTGCAACTATCTTGGGTTATGGTGAGGTTTAACAATCGTTTTAGCGAAGACATTTCACAACAAATATTTTTTAAAATTGGACGGACCTTCGATTGAAGATATACTCGGACTTAATTATTATTACACCTCCATCAACACAATTCAGATCGCTTAGGAGGCGGGTTCGGACCCTGCTTGACAGAGCCAACCTGGACTGAGAGGAATATTATATTCCAACTGAAAGACCAAGATACTAAATTTAGATAAATAATTCTCCCCGTTGGGGAACCGAACTCACGTCTCCTGTATGCAATACCCAAGGGCCTTACTACTACGCTGCAGGCGCCAGTTTGTTAGTTGTGCAGAGGCAAACGTTTAACAGCTGTTTCAGCGAAGACAAGTCACATCACATTTTCACTATTGGGAAGGGATTCCGATTCAGTTCTGTGCAGCTTCCCATTACTTTTTTCATACTGATCTTTCCGTTAATTAAGGAAAAAAAAAAAAAAAAGCAAAAGTCCCCCTCCCCAAAACCCCCCCCCCCCCCAAACCAAACCACACACACACACAAAGCCCAGTTGTCTTTTGCTGCTCGTCTTCTTTCTTCGCAGCCATACTCCCTTTTTCAACACGAATGGCCATCTACTCTGTTCCCGAACACAGTACAGTAAATGACGGAACTCAAAATCTGGAGTTTTACGTTGTTTTTTAATGATCGTTTCAAATATTAAAATTTTGTCTGTTAATAATGCATTCCTCGAACAGGATGTGCAAAACAAAGAGATATAACTGGACTGCACAGTGATACAGGAGATAATAATATAAAGTGATATATTTGATATTTTAGACTATAGAATCTATTACACATTACGACAAAATAAAACCAACCAAAACAACAACAACAATAAATATTCAAACGTGGTGGTAGACCGGTTGTTGTTTTTTTGTCGTGGTGCATCACATTTTTATTTTTGCTTGCTTCGTAAGGA